TACCTTTACAGCCACAACTGCTGGCCTCGATAAGGTTTTTACGTCCGTCTTATCACTGGCTGACTCGGGGCTTACCTTCTCCTCGTTGAAGTTTTACCTGGCCGCGTTATCGGCCTTTCATGTTCATGTGGATGGTTGCACCCTGTTTATCTTGCGCCAGCTGACCAGACGGCCCTTTGAACCCCTCGCCACTTGTCAGCTGAGGCTCCTGGCCTGGAAGACGGCCTTCCTCGTCGCCGTCACCTCGGCCAGGCGAGTCGGTGAACTCCTGGCTTTCCGTCATGACTCGCCATACTTGTCCTTCCTCCCGGATGGTGTCCGCCTGGTGCCGGACATTTCATTTCTGCCCAAGGTGGTCTTTGAATTCCATCTGTAGTCGGAAGTCTTCCTCCCTGATTTTTATCCTGACCCAAAATCACAGGAAGACAGACTTATGCACACTCTAGACGTGAAGCGGGCCCTCCTCTTTTACCTGAGTAGGACACGCTTCACCAGGCAAACCTCTAAGCTGTTTGTCTCATACGCTGCACCCCGTGTGGGCACTCCAATCACTGCCCAACGTCTATCCAAGTGGATCGTAGGTCTGATAGAACTGTGTTACCTACTGGCGAAACAGCCGTTGCCAGGCCCGGTACGGGCTCATTCCACCAGGGCTGTCGCTACATCCACTGCTTTCCTGAAGGGAGTACAGCTGCAAGACATTTGCAGAGCCGCAACCTGGGCCACGCCTAATACATTCATCAGGCACTACGCCCTAGACGTCTGCCAGTCCACCAGTGACAGTCTGGGACGTCAGGTTTTATCATAGGCTAAGCAGTAAACACCTGACAGCACCCGCCTCCAGGTAGGCTACTGCTCGCTAATCTCCCATTGGTGTGAAGCACAGAGACCACGAAGAAGATAAACAGGTTGCTTACCAGTAACTGGTGATCTTCGAGTGGTCATCTGTGCATTTACACCACCCGCCCTCCTGCCCCGCTGCTGTCTTCTTCTACCTGTTTTATTAGGAGATTGATGCGCGGCGGTTGATAGGAACTGGCGGGATGTCCGTGCCTGCCCTTCTGGGCATGCTCACTGGGGCTCCTGAGCATGCTCAGTTGGGCCAGGCACGAAAATCCTTTTAAGAGAGCTTGCTAGGCACCGGCAGATCCAGCGCAGGCGCACTAGATCCCATTGGTGTGAATGCACAGATGACCACTCGAAGATCACCAGTTACTGGTAAGCAACCTGTTTTTTCACTGTATCTGAAGAAGTGTGAGTGCACACATAAGCTTATACCTTGAATAAAGTTTTGTTGGTCTCAAAGGTGCCACTGGACTCAAACTTTGTTCTCTTGTTCTCAATGTTTGCCTGCCCCCTTGAGGAATAGAAATGCTTTTCTTAAAGTTTTAATGCAGAGATCGGAGATACTCCTCAATGTCTAACTTTTGTGCAGTTTCCACCTACATATTATTGAAGACACTGTCAAGTGCACATAATTGTAATCTGTCCTTTCCTCTTGGGAGATGGTTCAGTGACAGCTGATTCAAGATTTTGGCAGAGATATTCCCTGTTCTGTAATTTGTGCTTTGCTCTCATTTAAATCAGACCTACCTTCTTTGCCTCTGTTTCTTTCTTCAGCCTACTGTTGGACTGAATGATCCCCGAGGACATCGGCTTCCTGCTCCAGAAAAACAGGTGTGTGCAGGACCAATGCCTGTCTCTGCAATGGGACCACAGCCCGGATCCCTGCAGCTTGTTCGGATGAGTGGCCCTCCCACAGATGCCAGTATGTATTCCCCTGCACAGTTCCAGCAAGGATTTCTTTCTCCGAGGCACAATGGACCTCCTATGAGACAACCAGAGACCTCAGAGCTCCCTCCCAGCCATATGTACAGACCTTTTAAGTACCTAAACCGAGCACATCCTGCTGTGTGGAATGGAAGCCACGAGGCAGCAAACCAGATGGCCCTGGGAGTGGACAAGAAGCTTCCCATGGGCCCACGCCACCCTTTGCCACCTCGTGCTTTGAGTCACATGATGGACCCTCAGGCACTGAGGCCGCCCTTGCCACCCAATCAGTGGACTGAGCAATCCAATTTCCTACCTCATGGAGTTCCACCCTCAGGATATATCCGACAACCAGGAAAAGCCACTGGTCAGAGAATGCAGCAGCAGCTACCAGCCTCATTGTTTGGGCCTCCCCCTCAAGTGCAGAGAGGAGGCCAGGGTGGGGATTCCATGATGGACAGTCCAGAAATGATTGCCATGCAGCAGCTGTCCTCCCGGGTATGCCCACCTGGTGTGCCTTACCATCCCCGTCAGCCTCCTCCCCCACACTTGCCTGGACCCTTCCCACAACTGGCCCGAGTGGCATCTACCAACGTTCAGCATCCAAAGCCAACTTTAGGGAATGGGAACTCTCAGGATGCCAGCCGAACAATAGATCCAGAGAACAACAGAGGTAATATATGTCCTTGTTCTGTTAAGGCAGAAACATGACTGCTGTATCAGCTGAGTGACTAATTTAGGTCAGTTTATTTCATGTGTACTTTGCTTGACATTTCCCAGAATCACTTGAGCTATTAAGGGCTAGTATTCCCATTCGATGAATGGTTTGTGGGGATGGGATGGTCTGTATTGAAGTTTTACCATATATAGATTTTGATTTACTATGAGCATAATACACATCTCATCTATGGTGTGTGCGCACTGAGGTGGCCCTACGGTGGGCAAGATGAGCTTGACCACCTCAACTTTTTATATGGATTTTATATGGTACCATTAAGACAGCAGAGTAAGAGACGGATCTAAAACTATGTGTTAGGAAATTTTTCTGGTCACAGTCATGCCTACGCAGATCGGCCAGTCATTTCAGACTGGAAGTTCTGCATAGGCATGACTGTGAATTGTATCCCATATTAATTAGTATAAACAACATAGTCATATGGAACCCCAAAGAATAGTATATGTATTGTGAGTTAAAGTTTTGTCACCTACACCTTTGAGTCCATAAAAGCTTAATTCCATAATAAATTGGTTTATCTACAAGGTGCCATTAGGCTGTTGCTTTTCCTGTCATAGATTAGTATGACCACCCCACCCCCCAAATATGTAATGTGTATATGGGAAGGGGGCTATTGGGATTTATCACTTCAGGGACCAGAGTGTTATGGACCAATTTCTTCTGCACTTTATGTTAGCTAGGATCAATTGTAGCACCTGAGTTAAATGCCATAACTGTCCCAGGATTAAAAAGAGGCAAATGTTGATCTTCTGGACCTTTGCAGTTGTTTGTAGGTAGAGAAGTTGCGTGCTTGCCTGTCTTGCCTTAGCCACGCATGCTACTTTCTTATACCTAAAGGTGACACTTGCATCAGGTAAACCAATTTTTCACCTGATCCCCATTGCCCTTTCTCTGATCTATTGCATATTGTACTTATGCATGGCATGATTGAGATGCTGACAGTGTAATACTGCAGTTTGAGAATTATGCAACGTCTCTTTAAAAATGAGTCCTAGGAGGAGGGTGAGCAAGAAAAGAATACACATGGTGAGGGTCAGCCCAGTTGATTCTGCATAGCTGAACAAGGTATAGATAGAAGGAGAAAGAAATGCATGTTAATGCTGGAAGGCAGCTGACTGTAACATTCCTGCCTTGAGCCACATCCTAATTCTGGTAAACTTATTTCAGTGCATCCTGTTAACTTTCAAAATTCCTGCTCCTTTCATAACTATAGCGTGTGGAATTAACTGCTAATGGGATTTCCTAGAAGCCTCATGCAAACATAGTGTTGTTAACTAGGGTTATTTGGAACTTGGAGCTTCGGGACCATACACTTCCTCCCCTGCTAACCCTCTCATGAATTTCATTTTTTCCCTGGTTAAGTGTTGTGGTTAACCATTGCTAACCATACATCAAATGAGCATGGGGACATTCCTAAACTCCCTGTCCATTAACCTTGTTTGATGTTGTATCTACACTGGGTCTTATTGTATTGCTGAAATTCTAGAGAAGCACTTTATAAAGAGCTGAAAATGAGAGGCTAAATCAGTTACTCAAAAAGGGAGATGTGACGTCTTAATATAGCTCGGGGGGGTTTCCTATGATGAACAGGATTTGAACTGTCTGTTTTCCCCATGTATAACTCAACAAAAGCCATCTTGTTTGTCTTCCATTTGCACAGTGGACCCTCCATCAGGAGTGGAAGAGAAAACTCAGTGTGTTGGCCTTCCAGAAGGGACATACCCCAAGCTGCTACCTCATTCCAAGTCCCCTTTGCAAACAGACTACTCCAGACCAAGCGTGACACAAGAAGGGGATGGAAATGATTCTGGAACTAAAAATGACCCAAAAGCAATGCAGAACAAGAGCACATGGTCAGCGGAGGGTAACTATATAAGCCCAGAAGCCCAGGGGTGTTCGAGGGACATTTCAACAGCAACAGAAAGAGGATCTGCCCCTGAAAATGGTGCTGTAGGTGCCGAAGGGCCATCCAGTGGATCAGAAGGGAAAACAATGCCTGCTAATTTCTTGGAGAAGCCCCGTTGCGCTGGGGGGAAAAACCTGCTGGAAGCAACTGTGCCTTGCATGGGACAGAGTACGAGTGCTCCTGCTGGTGTGGATGGCAATCCCGTGGGAGGCAGCACTGCCCAATTTGGCCCTCTCTACATGCACAGCTTGGAGTATCCAAATTCAGCTCCGCATTACCACATAAATTCAGGACTGCAGGGGTTCAATCCTATGATGGGAGGAAAGCCCCCTCCAGTGTCCCACACTCAACATTTTCCTCCTCGGGGCTTTCAGCCCAATAGCAGCCCCCCTGGTGTCTTCCCTCGCTATCGTCCTCATCAGGGAGTGCCATATCCTTACCAGCCTCAGCCCCCTCCTTCCTATCACCACTACCAGCAGCCTCCTTATTATGCTTGCCCACAGGGTTACTCAGAGTGGCAGAGGCCTTTCCCTCCGCAGTCCAGTCCGACGGGGCATCCGCCTGCCCAGCCCCCTCTGGCCAGGCCCCCTTTCTCAGACACAGGGACCATGGGTGGCGGCATGCAAGGCTGTGAGGTGGTCAGCGCTGCTTTGGCTTCCCCAAACCGAATGGATATGGCAAGCGCCAAAGAGGTTCCAAGCAGTGGGCAAGAGCTGCCCCCAGAGGCTGAGAAACCAGATGAGCCCCAGGAGAGGCCTGAGAGTCCCAAAGAGTTCCTTGATTTGGACAACCATAATGCAGCTGCCAAGAGGCAGAGAACAGTGGCAACAGGGGAGTATCTCTATGGCTCCCCCCCTCCACCCATGAGGTCTGGGATTGGATTTGGCCCGTCTGCTTTCCCACCCCATGGCGTCATGTTGCAGGCGGGGTCTCCTTACGCATCACGGCATCCAGCCAGTCACTTCCAGCCTAGGGCTTATGGATCCCCAGTGAATGCTCACTTGTCAAACCGTTCGGCTGCCAATCAAGTAAATGGTCTCGCTCATGAAGGACCTCTGTATAGTTGCCAAGAAGAAAATGTGGGACACTTTCAGGCCTTAATGATGGAACAGACGGGACGTGCAAGTGGCATGGGGGGACTGTCCCCAAATATGTATAGACCACCAGGGTAAGACTGCTCTCCATGGGACAGGGTGGTGTGCGTGCCCAATTCTGGCTACTCTCACAAAGATGAGAATCCAAAGAGTTGCCTAGAGTGACGTATATTACAGGTCAGATTAGTACCGTCTGTAGCAGAGCTTCACAGTAACCTTGTAAGGACAGGAATGACAGATCTGATGAATCACTTGCTATAACTCATGATCATTTTGATGAACTTTATCAATGAAGATTCTTGTTCATATGTGGGGGGGAGGACTGTTCAATTACTTCAGTAAGTTAAGGCTAAACTTTGTTTACAATGGTGAATTAGCTTATTTTCTACACTTTTCTTCCCCTGTATCTACATTTACCTGAAAAAAGTTAACACACCTATCATATGGAAAAGATTATTGAGGCGTAGATCTTTTTTTGCATAGTCAAGGGGAAGAAGGGAGGAGCATATGAACAATATATAAGTAATGACCAAACATAGAATTCATCCATCTCCACCAAGTATGGGTGTCAGTGCAGGAATGTTTGGGTGTGTGCGTGTATCCATTAATAGGTATTTGGTTGCTGAAGTGACTTTCTCTGTTGTGTGTGATTCCAGAATGCACATGCACCAACCCCAAGCCCCATTCCCAAAGGTGCCTCCAGCAACGCTACCCCGAGAAGAACTGCCGCCACAAAAACCATCAGCATTGCCACTGGATCAAGTAAGTGCCCAATAAAGAACAGAGTTCAGGGCTAAGGCAAGACTTAAAACCAGTGTTCCCTCTAAGCTGAGTTAGTGTGAGGTAGCTCACAGTTTTTTAGCCTCCGGCTCACACATTTTTGACTTAGCTCAGGAAGCAGGACTCCAGAGCAAACTAATTTATGCGGTAACCAAATCACTCGCTCACAACTTTAATGCCTGTAGCTCACAAAGTAGAATTTTTGCTCACAGGACTCCACAGCTTAGAGGGAACATTGCTTAAAACATAGACTTTGCAGCTGACTGGTCCTGCTCTTACCCACTACATCAAGTAATTGCTCTCGGGGAACACAGATTGGATGTTTGATTAACCCGTCTAGGAAGACGTCATTTCTTTTTTCAGCATGGGCTTTTTTTTTTTGCCATCTATCTTTAGTTGGCCTGTTTGATTTTTCTCTTTATGTCAATTCCTTTTGAGAGAAATAACAGGCATCCTTTCCCCTCCCTTTATCCTTTTCCAGAGCTAGTCCAAGGATGGAAGAATTCAGAGGAGACAAGAGCCACATGCAGCTAAATAAGGGCAAAGAGGGACATCCTTCCCACCCTCACTTTCTTCCCCAGCAGCATGTAGCTTCAGAAGTCTGGTGGAGCACGGAGCTTTGGTGGCTCCCTGTTAACATGGAGTTGTCCTGGGCCTGAGGCAGCTGTGGCTATTCACACTGACGCAGAGAGAGCATCTCAAACTAGTGACTTGTCTCTGACCAGAGACTTTGGCTTCATTCAGGGTTTTAAAGGGGCTCTGTTTGAGGGACTTGAAACTTTCATAAACTGCTAAAACTCAGGTATATTTTTCAGGGTGAAAAACAGCAGACTATGGATAGTACTCGTATTACTATGTGTGTTTGGAATGGGTTCCAGTTTACAGAATTTTTTTAACTTGTTGCCTTTTTAAAAGAAAAACAACTTTTTGTTGGTGAATGTATCGTACATTATTGGGGGAGGCCCAGAATGTAGCAAGCATAGCACTAGGATGATCCTGAACTGTTTACAATCATGGGCACACTGAAACCGTTCCAAGAGAGAGTGAACCGGGGGGAGAAGGGGGGGGGGACAGTGGAGACTCTCCGAGCCTTCTTAAAATCTGCACCACCTTTTATAATTGGGATCTGAGACGCTGTCTGGTAACCGATCATAGGAATTGCTCAGGAAATATCATGATGCTCCCCTTTCCTGCTCCTATGTAGTGTGCACTACCATTTCCTGCCAGGGTAGGAACAAGGAAATCAGAAATTTCCAGGAACCCTGCGAGACTGTAGTAGGTTGACTGGAGTGACCGATATGTCAGTTTCAGAATCTTAGGATGCAATTCTTTCCTCTTTTCTCCCCACCCCACACACTTTTCTTTAAAGCTGAAGCCAATACAGCTTGTATGTCAGGACAGGAGAAACCCTCTCTCAGCATAAGACAAAAAGCATATGCATGTTGAGCTAACTGGTCTTGGTGTGATTTGTCTCTTATCTTCCTCTGAAAGCAAGGCAAACATGGCTGAAGTTTAGGGAGAAGGATTCTGTCCAGTGTGGTAGGATGAGAGATGCTTTTGGAGCAGGGAACAACATTTCATCTCACCAATAGTGAAGCAAGTATGTTAAGGAGGAGGAAAAGGCAAATGAGAAATTAATGCACACGAGATATTTCCATTTTACAGCTCAGAAAGTTGTGGGATCGATTATGTTCTAGCCTTTCCTAGTAGGGATCATGACTTTAAATCTCAATTGTATTGCAAATGCAATATTTGGTACTTCAGAGGCAACTGTATTGTCTGTCTGGAAAATTGCCAAAACATCTGAGGCTGCGATCGTGAGAACATGCAATGCTGCATGTTGAAATTCTGGCAGAACTATGTGAAGTTATCAGAACTAGAAAGGGGGGAAGGTGAGGGTGTTAACAGGCCTGTACAGAGCAAGAGTGATATAAATGGCTCTTAAGCAGTATATGCCACTGTTTACAAGAGCATAAAATAATAATGTAAAAACAGTTGGGGAGGTTTGTATCTTTCATAATACTCGAGCTGAAAAAAGAAAAAAACCACTGCTATGATTAGTAAATCTGTGGTTCCAGTTAGACCTGGATACACATTCAGTAGGAGCACTGAACACCTTTCCCAAATATGTCTCTGTTATGCTATTTGGATACTACGAGTCTGTCCACTTAATAGTCCTTCTGTTCAAGTGAACGTTTCCCTTTTCCTCCCCAGCTCTTCTCACTGTAATTAGAAATTAATTGAATGGGAAAAGATCCTGAGTTTGTTTGAGGTTTTCTGTTCAGTTTTATCTGCAGTGACAGGAATGGGGGAAGCAGTGTGTGAGCAGGGGAAATGATACCTGCTCCTGGTTTCACTGTTTGGACAACAGCAGAACCCAAGAAACAAGTGAACGGGCCTGCAGTTAACATGTCTGCTGGCCAATACCATTATCCAAATCCCATTTGGATAGGTAGCATTCCTGTGTAGTATGCTGTCCATACATCCACCAGTATTTTTCCTAGGAATGTATGAAAAGAAACACGTTTCTGCACAAGTTTGAAATATTAAAGAATGTCCTACTTTCAAGACACTGCCACCTCTCCCCCCCCCCCTCGGGTATTCATAGTTTTGGTAATTTCTCAGAAGTTCATTCCAGAGCAACAGCCTGTAATTTCACAGACA